GAGGATGGTGAGGAGGAGGAGGAGATGGTGGGGCAGGCGAAAGGGAGGTTGACATGGGCTATCAACAATCAGGTTTCGAATCCTTCCTACATGCCCTATGGTATTGATGGGCCACGAATTACCATCACTGGCGCCTCTTCAGTGCTCATGAGGTATTTGTACTGCTTCATTCCAAATTGTGCCATCTTTCTGCCTGCCTTACGGAATGTGCTTATGGTCTGTACTCGTTCCTTAATTAGGTACGTCTCGCTGCTGAAAACCGACACCTCCTACCCCCTGAAGATCTTGTACTCAGTGCATAAGGAGTTTTGCGGCTATCGTGTTCACATGCTTATGCCGCCGCCATCACCGCTGCAAGACATAATTAAGGTTGGTCCCTGTCTGGCATCATCTTTCACCATCTCGACACCTGTTTGGTGGTAGTAGTGCCCTGTGCAACCTTGAGCATACGAGTAGCATGTAGCAGTTTGTTTCTTTTGATGTGTCAGGGTCCACTGGCATCAACGAGAAAGATGGCGACACAATTGGTGAGGCTTGAGGCCTGCAAGCTGCTGCACAATGCTGGTGAGTTCTGACATTGCTCTGATTGCACCTTGTCTGTCTCAAACACTGCGCTGCACAATTCATGGTAGATAGGGCTGTAATGAAGTGGTACTTGTGTGGAGTGATTGATTTGACGGCGCCTGAGGAGACGGTAGCCATCTTTTGTTAGAATTGATGGATGCGAGAAATAGTGTCAAGTTTCTGCTTGAGAAGCAGTGATACTTACTTGGCAAGTGTTTGTTCTGGTGCAAGGAGGTCTAGTGTGATTGCGTCGGCTGCGCGTAAACCATGGGTTCAGTCTCAAAATGGAAGTGAAACGTGCCAATGAGTACTGGCAAGGGTTAGTGCATAAACTCGTTCATTTCATTCGCCCCATTTGTTTACTATTTTTGCTTCAACAAGTGCATCATCGGCACACTTGATTGATTCCATCTGCACATTTACTTGGCAGTTTCGTTCATCTTTTATCGTTATTGCGCCAACTCTGCTACGTGCGTTGTCGCTCACGTCGACCCGCAGTCACACGCCAAATGAGGAAGGAGGTGATTGGTGGAAATTGCACCAATGAACGTCTCAGATGCGTGTGCTCGAATAATATCAATAAGATTGGTGTTAGTTTTGCTATCAATTTGCTGCGCGTCGATGTTATCGAGTCACCGGTACAGTCCTGTTGATTGATCAGTTTTTCCTCTGCATTTCGTTCATGCTTTTGCCATTGCTCAGGTTGTTTGTATTAGCTCGTTGGCAGTGGGTTTTGTCGGTGCTGACCCTCACATACCACATGTTGCCGCCGATACGCGCATAAACTGTAGTTCCTGGAGGAATTTTAGCCCCGTTCTACCGCTGCACTAGGTGAATCTCCTTTTTGTTTTGATTCCGAGCCAATGTATGACCATCTGTTGCCAGTGTGTAGATTGAATTGTGGTGGAAGTTGTATTGGTGCATCACCTCGTGTTATTTCGTGACTGGTGCCTTCCTTTCATATTCCAAAGTTGTCAACGTTGAGGTGTGGTATCTTTAACTCAGCGGATGCAGCGAGAGGTTTGTTGTTGGCCTGTACACAACAAATCCTGCTATTTCTTATTGCTATGGTGACTAGCAGGAATAATCGATGTGGAGTGTTTTCTCGTAACACAGCTATCGTTGATGCCCGAGAAATCTGCTT